CAAATTCTTTGCAAAATTTTCTTTGCTGGTTGATGCTGCTAATGCTGCTGTGATCTGAGCCTTTTGATTCAAGAAAAGGGAGGTTTCTGGATCAGCTGGCTTGATGCTTTTTGGATGTTTTTTAAACCAGAGCTTGACATTTTCTGGGTAAGCTCTTGAAGCATCAAATTCTATCCACCATTTAACAAAAGCTTGTCTCCTGAGTAATGGTAGTCTGATGCCTGTTTTCTCGCCGTAATTGTACTGCCATGAAAATATCCATGCCAGAGAGAACTTTGAGAAAAAATGCAGATCTATTGGAAAGGGATCTGCTAGATTGTCGAATTTTTTGGAAAAGATTGTCATTCCTTCAAAGACTTGTGGAGGAAGGATATCAAGGATTGGTCCAAAATAATCCCACCATTTATTAAACCATTGCGGGAAATTATATTGGATATTTTGCTTAAAGTAAATTAACCATGAATGTTTGTTTTCTTTATTTTGCATGAAGAAGACATTGGTCCAGGCTAATTCATAGTCCCAATAATTATATCCAATTGGATCATAAGGCTGGGAAAATTTGGTTATTTTATTTGGATTTCCATATTCTGCTGGGGTGATCACCTTGAGAATCTGGATGGTTGAATGAGTAATAAACTCAGGGTCTTTTGGACTCTTATAGTGTTTGATGGAAATAGAGTTTGAATCAAGTAGAATAAACTCATAAAAATTTTGGGATTTAGTTGGAGAATGTGGTTTGAAATGAAATTGTCGTCCTTTGAAGTCTTTGGGGAAGATCTTCACAGGAACCTTGGTTGGTTTATTATCCCAGTAGGATGGTTCCATTTGGATTACTTCTAGAAACTTGTTCTTTGAGACATATGGTGTTTGAGGTTTTGGTTTCTGGGTAGAAATAGGTTTGGGTTGGATTTCTAGGGCCCTGTTTGGACGGTTAGAGATCTGCTTGGTTTTTAGGTTATCAATCAAAACAGAAAGACTTTCTTCCTGTTCATCTTCTGAAGCTATTTCAGCCCAGGTTTTCTTTGGTAGATGGGTCAAACCTTGGTCTTGGAAGGCTTGAAGTGTTTGGATTGGCATTGCATAGTCTGCTTTGGATTGTTTAGAAGAGGAAGTATCCTCAACTCTTTGGGTAGATGACCCAGTTTGGGGTTGGGTAGATGACCCAGATTGTTGTTGGGCTGGAGACCCAGTTTTTTCTAATTTTTTAGCTAACCCAGCCAGGATTAGCTTTCCTTTCCTCTCTTTAGAAGAGGTTGATTTTACCGATTTCGGCATGACAGGACACTGTTTATCTTCCCTGCAGAAATTCACGAGTGAGATAATCAGGGAGAGAGTTTGAGGTGCCTTTGAGATATTCAATTTCAAAATCAAAAACACTTAAGATAGCTTGCCATCTAGCAAAAATTTGTTTAGATGCTAGATTCTTTACGTCCTTTTGTAAAATGTCTTTTGCAGATTTGCAATCAACACGGATTAAAAACTTTTGATTTAATAAATCAGATTGAAATTTTGAAATACATAAAACAATTGCTAAAACTTCTTTTTTGACAGTGGAATACTTTTGCTGTGCTGGATTCCAATGTTTTGAAGTGTATGCAATGATATGCTCTTTGTCTGAGACTCTTTGTTTAAGAATGCCACCATAACCTATGTCAGAGGCATCAGTTTCAACAATTTTGAAAGCCTGAGGATTGGGAAGATAAAGACAAGGAAGTTCCTTTACCTTAGCTTTGACCTGTTTGACTACGTCAGTATGAACATCAGTCCAGGGAGGAGGGTCTTTTTTAAGACGATTATGGAGAGGCTTGATTAGATTATTAAGCTGAGGAAAGAAGTCAGCTACATAATTTAAACAACCAAGAAATCTTTGTAATTGAGTTTTATCAATAATTTGATTGGGAAATTTGTCAGCAAATTCAATAGCTCTACAAATTGGAGTAATAGTCCCTTGATAAATAGTATGACCGAGGAACCTGATTTTTGTTTGAAATAGATTGATCTTTGATTTAGAAAGAGCTAAACCACTTTTCTTAATTACATCTACAAAAATATGAAGATGTTTAAAATGTTGATCAATAGATTGAGAAAAGACAAGAACATCATCAATGTAGACAATAGTGAAAGTTGAGTATGGATTGAAGATATCATTCATGATTCTCTGAAATTCAGAGGGAGCATTCTTCAGTCCAAAAGGCATTACCTTCCATTCGTATTGACCAAATGGAACAGTAAAAGCTGTCTTGTAACATTCATTGTCATTGAGCTGGATTTGCCAAAACCCAGATTTCATGTCAAATTTAGAAAAGATTTTTGCCGAATACAAACGATTGAGAAGATCTTTCTTATTTGGAATCGGATACCGAATCCATTGAAGAGCTTGATTAAGAGGTTTGTAATTGGTAACTAACCGTGGAGTTCCACGCTCAATTTCAGATTGCTTATTGACATAGAAGGCAGAACAAGACCAAGGACTCTTGCTTTTCCTGATGAGACCTTTAGCAATGAGATCAGCAATTTCTTTTTGACAAAAGACAAGAAGTTCACCACTCATTTGAATAGGACGAGCTTTGGTTGGGATTTGCCTTTCATTAAAATCCTTTTCATAGGGAAGATATACGATATGATTTTTCCTTTGCCAAAAAGCATTCGGAAGATCAGAACAAATTGTATTTTGGATTTGTTCAAGCAAAACTTTGATCTTTTGTTGAACTTCAGGCTGCTTTAACTGATTTTCAATATTCTTAAAAGAAATTTCTTCTTTAAGGAAATTGATTTGTTTTTGTTTGTAATGGATAAAATTCAAATCTCTTATGATGGGTTTCTTAAGAAATTTAAAAACAATTGGTTTGTCCAAATGATAAGTAATTATACCCTCATCTGTGATAGTTAGAGGAAAAAGAGATTTGATGAACGGAGTTCCAAGAATAACTCCATTTTTTAGGTTTTTAACAAGGAGAAACGGTGTTTCAACTTTTAAATTATCATTTTCAATGATTGCTTTCGGAAGTTTATAATTAACCTGAAGTTTTGAACCACTAGCAGTACTAAGCCGTTCAGAAGTCTTTTCAAAATATTTAGTAGGAATTAGACCTTCTTGAATGCAGTTTGAATCTGCCCCTGTGTCAAACAGAGCTTCAATTTCAAGGTCAAAATTACCTACATTGAGTTTGATTGGGATATAGAATTTTTGAATTGTTAATTGATTAATTAATCCTAAAAATTCTTCGTCTTTAAGATTCTTATCTTCATCTGGTTTAGACAGAGTATTTTCCATACTCGTTCCCGTTGATTCTTCATTTTGTAATTGAAGAAGGATGTTCTGATGAGTTTGTTGTTGTTCTTTGATTTGTTTAACTTCAGTTTTGAGAATATTGATCTCATACTGAAGATCTTGGACAGTTATAGGTTTGACAGTAATACTCTTTTCAAGTTTTTTAAGGGTATCTTTAAGATTAAACTTATTAGGAACCAACAACTCTTTAGATTTAGAAGAACTGGTTTCCAAGGATGATTTTAATTTTGCTAAGTAAGCTTTCTTTTCATGGGGATCACTGATTGAATCTATGACCTCGAACAAAAGATCTTGTTCTTTAGTCAAGACATTAATTTCTTGCGAGGTTTGTGAGTCCTCACTAGAAGATAGATCATCTTCATGAATTTGGTTTAAATCTTCTGAGGATTCTTTTCCAGATTCTTCATCCGAGGACTGGATTAGAAGATTATTGATTTGTTCTTCAATAGAAGGATCAAGGTTTAGGTTATTTAGTTTTTTCTTAAGCCTACAATATTTACTAATATGTCCAGGTTTACCACAGTTGTAGCAAATAGTTGGCTTAATTGGTTTGGATGTATTTTGTGATTTATTTGTTTCAGTATTTGGCTTAGGATTTTCATTTTTAAACCTTTTATTGTAATTGGGTTTCTTACGAAAATTCCTAAAAGTTTTAACCTGTTTTTGTTCCTGTTTTTTATGTTTTTTAGGTTTTGTAGTACAAGGCAGACCAAATTGTTCACAAAATGATCCTAGATCTTTACGATTTTGAGTTTTTTCTTTTGCAAGTTGACGTTGGATTTTATCATCTTGACAGATTTTTAAAGCTACCTTTTGGATATAAGCAACTAATTGTCCATAACTTAATTGCTCATAAGGGATATCTCCAGTTAGAGATTGATGACGGATTTTATCCCTAACTTTGTCTCCTAAAGATTTTGGAAGACCAGCTAAGAATTTTTCTTTCCAGAAAGGTTGTAGGTACAGCAGCTGCAGAAATCATTTTGCCTATATATATATATATATATATATATATATATATATATATATTTCTACATACACTTTTTTTTTTGGAAATATTCCAATCGGTTCATCGCTTCGCGACTGGTCCGATTCGGGACAGGTCCAGGATTAAGGCTTTAAACCACTCCTAAAGGTGGTACTTGGGAGGATCGAACACATGCTCTCACCCCCACCTGCTTAGCTCCCATGCGCCAACTGAGCTACCACCATTCGGTCATTTCTACAAATACTTTAGATAAAGTTATCTACAACTACTCAAAAACTACATCGTTTTGATTAATGAAGGGTGTTTCTGTAATTTTATATTTTGTTTATCATATGCATTTTACTGAAATACCCTTCATTAATTCACCTAATATTTACAAAAAATACCCTTCATTAATCAAAACGACGTAATTTTTGAGTAGCTTTAAATAACCTTATCTTATTTAAAGTGCCCGAAAAAATATTTTTTTTTCATATATATGGAGCCGCCATTTGTGCAAGACTTACCAACTTTGAATAAAATAATCCGTGTTTTCCTAACTGTTTCTTATATAATCAAAATGACAGGTTCACATAGGATTGCAATTTGAACCAGTCTTGCCCATTTGCCATTTATTATTAGTCAAAGAAAAATCAAAACTCTTCGTTCAGAAGCACTGCATTGTATTATATAAATATTTACGTCCTGAAGCCATAAATTTGATCAAAATAGATACATGCTCATTCAGATTCTCTGATCATATTCAATTACACTCAACTTCCCGAAAACCCTTCTCTCTGATCCATTCTTTTTCTGCGTATAACCGAAAACCAAACCCACAAAAAACATGAACGACTTGTTCTCCGGCTCCTTCTCCCGCTTCCGCAACAACGAGCAAGTCTCCCCGGACAACAACAACCACCACGTCATCCAGATGACCGCGGCGACATCATCATCGCCGCCGTCTGACGGCGGCGTCGTGAACCTTGACAAATTCTTCGCGGAAGTTGAAACGGTGAAGGAGGAACTGAAGGAGCTTGAGCGTCTCCACGAGAGCCTGCGTGGGTCCCACGAGAAGAGCAAGACCCTTCACAGCGCCAAAGCCGTTAAGGATCTTCGGTCCCGCATGGACGCTGACGTGGCACTGGCCCTCAAGAAAGCCAAGCTCGTCAAGGTCCGGCTCGAGGCGCTCGACCGGTCCAACGAAGCAAGCCGGAACTTGCCAGGTGGAGGACCCGGTTCATCCTCGGACCGGACCAGGACCTCCGTTGTGAGCGGATTGAGGAAGAAGCTGAAGGATTCAATGGACAGCTTCAACAACCTCAGACAACAGATATCCTCCGAGTACAGAGAAACCGTACAACGTAGATACTATACTGTCACCGGAGAGAACCCTGATGATAAAACCATTGACCTCCTCATCTCAACTGGTATATATCGTTTCACAAAACTTTATATTATAAAATGTTCATAACCTCTTCACCTTGTTTAAGAAACTTTTGTTTGTGTTCCATAGGTTAAAATAATTCTTAGGAGCATAATATAAATTCAAGTTTTTGACAATTTTGAATTTTTTTATGATCAAACTCAAAGGCCAAACATTAATTAAGAGTTTCATGTCATAACTACTTGTGTGTATTAGAATTCAAAAGAAAAATACAATATTAATTATTGATTCAAGTTGTCATGAACTTATTATAATTAATCAAAGGTTCAAGTTTTAGAATATAAAGAAAATGATGTTGGAAGAACTATTCCTAAATAGGTCCAATAATACTTGAATCGGACTAATTAGTAGATAAAGGTCTATTGTTACCTATTGAACGATGAACGTGTAGGAATAAATTTTTTGTTATATTTATGAGTACAATAGTAGAGGGCGAGTTGTGAAGCAGTAATATAATTGATCACGAGTTTGAGTAGAGGCACATGAAATAATGTCCTTGCAAAATACAAGAATAAGGATGCATACAATCTGTCATCGTCCCTAGTATCTATCAATAGAATAATACCCAATTTATTATAATGCATTTTGTATTGTGAATTATTTTTGTATTCAATAAAATTTACTTAATAACATGAGAATGGTAGAATTTTTTTTTTTTTTTTTTTTTTTTTTAAGATTGTTAATTAGGGTGCACTTTAAGATTGATGGTACATAATAATTGTGGTGGAGCAGGTGAAAGTGAAACTTTCTTACAGAAAGCCATCCAGCAGCAAGGTAGAGCTAGTGTAATGGACACCATCCAAGAGATTCAAGAGAGGCATGACACGGTGAAAGAGATAGAGAGAAATCTGAACGAGCTGCACCAAGTGTTCTTGGACATGGTTGTGTTGGTCCAAACCCAAGGTGAACAATTGGATGACATTGAGAGCCACGTGGCACGAGCCAATTCGTACGTGAGGGGTGGGGTCCAGCAGTTGCATATTGCTAGGAAGCACCAGAAGAATACCCGAAAGTGGACCTGCATTGCCATTATAATCCTGCTCATTATAATCTTGATTATAGTTCTTCCTATTGTTTTAAGGAAGTGACATTTTCAAAGGTGGACTAGTTCAAAGCTTATCAGTCAAGTCAACGATCTTTGGCATTGCATTAGAAAAATACCTTGCTTTTGTAATCAATATTGTTTTTGGTCACATGTGTTGCTTTACCCCTTCCATATATTGGTACCTGCTTGAAGATTGGGACGTTTTAGCTTAGTTTCTAGAACCTCATGGTCATGGTCCTTCAGGGTACAAGTTACTATGTAAGACTTAACTACCATGATATGAAGAGACCTCAATGAAGCGATTTTATCCCGTTTTGAGGTATGTGTGAGGAGAAGGGAGAGGTGATTGTTCATGGTGGTAATTCTTTAATTTGCAGATATGTATTTTTTTGGCTTTATTGAATTTTAAATATATAGCTGTGTGCTATGTGTGAATTACCTAGTTTATATGTTGCAGGATTGAGTTCAATTGTTTTGCACTTTTATGCTGTTGTACAAAAGAATAGCACCTTATTCAATAGCATTACTTTCACATACTTTTGTTATTGTTGTTATTTTTATTTCGTTAAAAGTCTTTGCTTCTACTATTAATATTTTCCATACAAAAGTGTTAGCTTGAAATTATAAAAATATATATACATAATCTTGGAGAAGCATAGCAATTCAGGCGATGCACCTTAAGATGACCCGTAAATAGCGCTATAAATCCCGTAAATCGACATATGTCAGCTTAGACCTAATCTAATATATTAATAAAATAAAATATGCTCATATTTTTAAACAAGCAAATTTACAAAATAGGCCATAAGATCTAAAAGTATACAAACTAACTTATATCATATTATTTAAAATAAAATAAAAATTTAAATGTATTTCAATAATATTATTTTTATTAGCTTTATGTTGATAAGTTTTGAAGATTTGATAGACTTAAATATAAACAATCTAAGAAACTTATGCTAGATGTTTTGATTTTCGAATATAGGCCATGACATGCCTAAAGTTTAACTTGCACAAGATTAATAAGGCAAGCCACACTAATAATTGACTTAATTTTGCATTACGTTTTAATTTTTTTAGCCTGACTAGACTTGAATCAATTAAGTTACCATAAATATAGTTTAAGAAAATATTTAAATAAAAAATACTTTTTTATTTATTTTTTAAAAAACTTATTTTAAAACGACGTAATTTCGATCAAATTTATTGAAAAAAAAGTCAACTCAATTACCCAAACCGACCAAGATCTAATTTGGTTGTTAAAAGAAAATTCTAATAACAAAATCAAACCTAACTCGATTTGGTTTTTACTTTTATTCAAAACCAACCCAAAGTGACGTGATGTCTGTATATAAAATAAGAGTATGGTAAATCAAATAATAAATTTATCTCTCCTTTTGGATGTTTATAATTTTCCATGATCATAAAAATAAGTAAGTGTTCATAAAATATAGAGCAAATGTTCATTTCAATCTTTCAATGAATATACTTGACATCATATTAGTCTTCCATTTAAAAATATATCAAATTAGTTGTCAAAAGATATATGCAATATAAAATTGAACCTTTAATGTCATTTCTACCATCACATCAGTATTTTAAAACTCGGACCGGTCATCAACTCGGTCGAGTACTGAATTACTAGATCATTGATTCAATCGGATTCAACCAAATTTACTGTTCACATATTAAAAAAATATAAACATATTACTTATATTAAAAATTCACATAAAAAAACTATCAATGGGCTTTAAATAATAAATTGGTTTTCAGTGATAGCAAATATTATATACTTGTAGGCTTCTAGCTCTAGACCATATCTTAACATTGGATTAAAATTGTAATATAAGCTAAATGCATCTTTTGTACCTTCACATAACAAAAATAAACTAAATCATGATAACAAATAGTAGGCATGAAATATATACTAAGGAGAAAGTGTCCATCGTTGAAATGAGACTATCAGTGTTTATCCCCACTTAACTTCTTGAGATCATTATAAGATGCAACTAAATTATATAAACGAACTGCACTAATCAAAAATATCTTCTTGTTTTTTCCTTACTTTTTAATCATATTTATTACAAAATATGAATATGATTTAATTCAAGAGTTCTCAGTAATAAAGAAAAAAGGGTCAACCGGGTCACTGAGTCTCAATCGGGTCAACCGGTCCAAACCAAGTTGACTACAGAACCGGTTCAAATGACCGCTTGGACCGAGGAAGCCACCGAGTCATCGAGACTTGGGTCGACCCGGCTGGTCCGAGCCGATTTTTAAAACACTGCATCATATTGGTAGCTAAAATAACATCAAATTGGTTCTTGAAAACGAAAAAAATGACATTAAATATTACTGAAGAAACAATTTGATGTCAATTTTTAATGAAAAACTAATGCAATGTCACATATATATTCGGAGAACCAAAATATATGATTACTTTCAAGTTTAATAAGGGAGAATTTAGGAGGGATTATATGAAAATGGCTCATTTTCCTCCTTTAATTTTAAAAACTTTAAAACAAGAGTGAGGCTTACTTACAGCCTTTCCTTCAATTCTCTTACATCAAAAAGTACCATAATGATATCTCATGGCAGACTACAAAGCACGGACACGCTTTATTTTTGAAATTGTGCGTGTCGGATACAGACACGCTCCGACACGTTCAAACACGCGGTCAACATTTTAGGACACGTGGTTAATTTTCCGACACGCTCCGACACGTTTTTTCGACACGCAGTCAACTTTTTACGACATGTGGTCAACGCTGGGACACGTCTTTTTTTTTTTACTCTTAATTTTATTTTATTAACTAAAAATAAAAAAATCATTTATAAATTAATTTTTTTCTGTTATGAAATTTGACATGAAAAATTAACAAGATACGAAAAATTATTTTTGTTTATATTTATGTTATGAAATTTGAATATTTGATTGGTTATATAACTTATTATGGACTGTTATATCTATTAAATATAAATTATATTATATATTTTTATAATATTATTTAATATCAAAACGTGTCCCGACGTGTCGAAATATGCCATTTTTTAGAATTAACGTGTCGTCGTGTCCGTGTCCGTGTCCGTGTCCGTGTCCGTGTCCGTGTCCGTGTCCGTGTCCGTGTCCGTGTCCGTGCATCATAGATGGCAGATGTAGCCAATGTGAGGGAGTAATGGATCTAAGTTCATGTGAAAAATTCTCAGCTGTCCATATACAAATGAATGGTAATGGAAGAATGTATTAAGATAAAGAGCATAAAAAAGAAAACCATTGATTTGTATCTGGTCGGCTGAGGTCCTCTCATATGACCTTATGTCACATGAGAGCATCTATTCCCATGTGAGGGAGGCTGTGCATAGTGGTAGAAGTTTGTACTTAGATATAATGAAAAATAAAAAATAAAAATGATGAGGCTTTTATGCTGCATTCATTATTTTTCCAAGTGCCAACAGCATAAAGTTCAGGACTAGAGGTTCTGATCTATGTTCCCTTAGCTTCCATTACAGAGCTACAGAATTAACATCAACCTTTTATATATGTCCAGTTCCAGTATATGTTCAGTAACACAGATACATCTCACAACTGCCTTAAGGTGTAATTAGTGTATATGCCAATGTGACTAATAATTGACTACAAATATGACAGGAGGAGCACTGTGCACAAAGCTAAATGGAAGAACATATGTACTTTTTTGCAGGCAAAAATAATGCTCAATCATATACCTCATGTGCTGACACTAAGCAGCATTTCCAAGCTATGAACATTATTTCCTGTATTTTCATCAATTACCAGAGGAGATGATGGCTTTTTGTCTGCAGCCGAATTCAGTATTAAGGGTCTGCCTTGAATCTCCTGAAAACAGTACATTACAAATGCAAATAAAGTGGTTACATAGTTAGATTAATATGTAACAAGATTAACACACAAGTTGCAAAACTATTCTACCAAAATTGTTCATACCACACCATTCATATCATTCAAAGCAGCCTCTACATCCTTGGCAGTTTCAAAAGTGACAAATCCATATCCCCGAGATTTTCCTCTGTTCCTTTCATAGATGACCTTGGCACTCAGTAAGCCTGGCTGCTCAGCAAAGGCATCTCTAAGACCCTGGGAAGTCAAACCCCAATCAAGGTTTCCAGCATAGATCTTGTGAGGGCTGTCTACATAGCCTTTGTATTTTGAACCCATTACTAGCCCTTCATCTCCTTTGGGAACTTTAGGGACGTTTACCTTAATAATCCTACCTCCAACTTGCTGTTAACATAGCCATTCGAGGTTATCAATTCGCAATTCAAATCGGGAATAGCCAAGTTAGTTTTTGAAACATGAATCACAAATCGTATCGAATCAATTGTAAGATTGAGAGACATAATAAAATAGCTTGAAATATATCACATAGATGATGGATAATGCACAATGCAATGTTTTAAACTCGGAAACTAGAAATTGACAAAATAATTTAATCAGAAGTCTTGAAAAACAAAATCATAAGTCATAACCGAATCACATAAAGTGACCACACGAAGCTTATGTTTCAAAAGAACGAAAGAAGAGTAATGATATAACCAAATAAGCAAGTGATTGTGTGAAGCCTCTGTTTCACAAGAATAAAAGCGTTTAACATTCAATGTGCAACTTACACCAGCTTAAAATGATCCTGGCCCTTAATAAATTACCATCCAAAATAATATAATAAGACAAGCCAAACTAAAATGGGATCTCCAACTAATTGATAACCAAGTTTTGATAGTGCAGGAAGTTATTTTGGTTGTGTCCATCTTCACAAATCACAATATTATAATAGAAAGAGTACCCTCCTTTGCAATATGGATTCTTTCATTTTCAATGAACAATGAAACACTCATATGAGAATCAACGTCACTTACAGAGCCATCAAACATTCGAATTGCTTGTTCAGCATCCTCAACGCTCCCCATTGTAACAAACGCAAACCCTCTGCTTCTATCCGTAATGTCATCATACACAATCTACATTATTCAATCCAACAAAAATAGGCACAAACACAATCCAAAATAAGATTATATTAACATAACCCAATAAAAAAAATCTTAAATTTATCAACCAAACAAGAAAAGAATCACAAAAACTGAAAAGGGGTGGGAAAGAGAGTAAAGAAAAAACATTATATGCAGAAGAAGAAGGGGTAGGGAATTTGCAAACCTCCACAGAGACAACATTGCCAGCTTCACCAAAGAGCTCAGCCAATTGGGAAGAAGGCAATGAATAAGGTAAGTTTCCCACAAAGAGTCTCTCTGATTGGTTAGAGTGTGACACCTTTGGCTCTGATTTTTGGAAGGTTTCAGGTTCAGGGTCTTCTTGAGTGACTTGGAAATTGTGGGAGGAAACTGAAGGCAGGTGAAGATGGTAGGGTGAGAGATGAGAAATAGTGAAAAGTTTGGGCTTGAGGTTGAGGGGTTTTGGGGATTTGGTTCTTTGTGGGAAGTTAAGGGTGTGTGAAATGGAAGAGTTGGTGAAGGAGAGGATATAGATTCTGTTGCAGATAGAAGATGAAGCAGTAGGTGTAGAAGCCATGCTCATGGAGACTGACACCCTAAAAAATCAGACAGGATAAACCATTTTTGCAGGTAATAGGTTTGGAAAAGACTAAAATTATGTATTGGTGTCTAGAAATTTACAACAGCCACAATTCCAAATAAACTTTTTTTTTGGGTTAATTTCATCTTTTTCTTCTTCAGTTGCTACGCCTTTAAAATAGGAAAAAGACAAAAAAAAAAAGAAAAAAAAAAAAAGAAGAAGCTTAATTACATGTTTATTATGCACGATTTGGTCTTATAGTTATTTTTTTCCTTCCAAATTTGTTTTTTTTATGTAAATAAATCAAGTCCTTATTTTTTTAAAATGAAGAGTCCATATTAAAAAAAAAACAAAATAAAGTTTTCTAATTTTTTTTTTTTTTTTTTTTGATAACAAGTTTTCTAATTTTTAACATAGATTGGTTCTGGTTCGCCAATTTTTCGCATACTTCATCTTAGATGTCAAGACAAGAACAACTCCACGTTAAATTCTATAAAATACTTTAGAGAGTTAATTCTCTTTAAATAATATTCGGGATTTGTCTCTGTTTTTCTGTATCAGTTTTTAAATTCATTTTTTTAGGTATAGGATATTATGATTTTTATTTTAACTATTTCTCTCTAACATTAACTTGTTAAATTACAATGTCAATTGATTTTTATTATTTCTCTTTTTCTTGAAATTGTGATATAATAATATTAAAAAAAAGTAGATAGAGCATACATAAAAAAAATATATAAATTTTTTTTATATATGTAACTTTGAATGAGACAACAAAAAATTTGGGATAGTATATTATACCTATTTTTTTCAGGTTTATTTTACTTATTTATCTCCAATACTGGTGAATAAGAATTTCAAGAGAAGAGAGAAAGAGTAAAAGATTTTGATATAACATGTTAGATATAAATAAATAAGATGGGTATACAAAATGAGGAAGGATATTGTAACAACCAACTAGTGTTACTACTAATTAATTTTACCGTTAGATCAATTATGTTGATCCAATGATTATATTTATTTTCATCTTTGTATGGTTACGATTCCCCATATATAATACTTTATATTTATTTTCACTATAATTCTCCATATTTAATGTTTTCACATTAAATATAGGGAATCATAATCATACAAATACAAAGATGAAAATAAATATAACTGTTAGATCAACATAATCGATCTAACGATGAAATCTGATTGATAGTAACATTGATAATAATATTAGTTAGTTGTTACAATATCCTATCCCACGAAAAATAAGTAGGTAGAATATTATATATGGGGAATTTTTTGATAAGCAGTTGAGAAGTTTCTTGTTTGGATGAAATAAATAATGTTATGAAGTGACATGATTCAAAATGAGGGAGTCATTGTGCAGGATCCGCTAACTCTTACCACCTTATCTACTTTAACCTAGTGGCTCCTGGGATCCACCATGAGCATTCTTATTATCTTATCCTACTTAAATCACATTTCTTATTTTCTTAATCAAATTTTGGAGTTACTTCATTTATCTTGTCCACATTAATAACCAAGTGTTAGGAGGAAGAACTTCCCTATGTAGTTATCTTCCTTGTGAGTATGTATGGGCTTCCGCAAGTCTAATTTGCCCTAAACAATATTGAAATCACACTCAACATCCAAGAATGGGATTAGATAGGTGTAAATTATTTAGCATCTGCTTTAACGTTTTTTTCTTTCATAAACCAAAAAAAAATGATATCATGAAAATAAATTTTTAAAAGCTTATTAAAATGTAACTTAATTATACATTACAAACATATCCCTCTTAATAGAATATGAGAAATATATTTCTGCAGTTGTTGCAGAAGTTTTTATCTGCTAGATATTATGTACTTTTCGAAATATATAGTGTAATTTTTTGTCACGAACTTTATTACAAGGGAATCCACTCCTTTGTTTTCAAAAAAAAAAAAGGGGCCCACTCCTTTTTTGTGGGATCCATTTCTTTTTTTGTGAGAGTCGCAGACAAACTTTCCTATAACAATTGCAGACTTAAACCCATAGAATATATGGGGATGATCATTCTTGTCATTCAGCTCATGGATTGATGTGGCTACCAAGACCACCAATTTTTCTTGAAATTTGTCTACCTCTTGTTCCTTGTAGGAAACTAGACCTCCATATTTTCCAAATGCAAAAGACAATATAATTTTAACATTTCCAGAGGAGAAATCCAGATCAATATTTTATTTTTGTAACAAAGATCACATGCCAAAGTTCAAGAATACATTGCTCCACAAAAGTCAGAAATCCAGAATAAAACACCAAGCCTAAACATGATTAAAGAAGCACACATATAGCTAGAATTCATGCTTTTATTTGAACAGAAAGACACATCATAGTCTAATGTATCACAAAGACAGAAAAAAAAAGTACTATATAGTTATAATGAGCCAAGGATGAGTTGCCTGAGCACCAGCCAAGAATGATTTGCCTTAAAACCAGATGTTGGGGCAAGCCTCCAGAATGAAATTTGTCACAGTAAACACTTGAAACTGCAACAAAACTTCTTCATCTGGTTGCAGCAAGGATGGGGTTTGGTGCAACATTGCACCAAGCCCACTAATCTCCTTGCCAATCAAATCTTAAGGTTACAGCAGTTTCCTGCTGCTGCAACCCAATTTGTAGGCATGGTACCTATCATATCTGCCAGAGTGTGCACAGAAGATCCAAGATGATTGATAGCAAAGCTATCAAGAGTTTCCCTTGAATACATGCTTGTCACCTCTGACCCTGAGATATTTGAACTGCTTCCATTTGTATCCTTTGATGTGTTTAAAGTTCCAACCTCAGATTGCAGGACTTCAGAACTCTGAGAGCCACTAGACTGCAATTTTTGGCCACCAGTTTTGTTCACTTCACTTCCAATTCCACTTTTACCATTTCCATTAGTAGAAGTTTTTGTGTTCAAGAATCGGCCACCGTTTCCTCTTGGTCTCCTCATTGCATGTAGATGGCGTGATTCATGCATATATGGCTTCAAGATAAACACAAAACTCAAATTGGTATAAAAAGGACTAAAGGAAACAACCCTATTTCACAAGTAGTCAAACATTGTCATGAGGAAAGAATGTGATTTATCTTTTGACTGAATAAAGGAGTATCATGCTGATGTTTATTAGCACTATCTTTGGTTATTTGAATATAAATTGCCTTCTGAATGAAATTATTATTTAAAAGCTCCAACTTATTTTATGGGTACTTTTCTCATAACTCATCGTCATACTATTTCTGCTTGACATAAGGGAAGGTTATACTTACTACCATTTTAGGTTTATCACTCTCATTATCTATTTGGTTATTGTTGGGTTAATTAGAAATCAACGGTTGAAAAAGAGAAAAAATTAGTTAACGTTGATTTCGAATTAATCTAACGATAACCAAACAGGTAGTAAGAGTAATAAGTTTAAAATGGTGGTAAATATAACCGCGCCCTTAACACAAATACAAAAGAATAACAGTGGTTTGCTACGGAATATAGCTAAGAAACAAAGTGATCTTTCCCCATTGTCTCTTGTCTTGCATTTAGAAGTGCAGATGGCTTTGGACCAAGACAATGATAATGAAACACTTTCCACATAAATTTGGTCAAAACATCCTATCACAACTACATTGTTTCAAGATCACATTATCCTCGTTAATTTTAGCATGACAAAAAGATTGAATTCTAATATGATGGATCATACCTTGCGACGTCTTGTCAATTTTTTCTCAAGTACAGCTTTTGCTCGGGATTGCCGGCGTCTGATGATTCCATGGTACTGCTTAGCATTTACATAAGTTGGTCCATCATCGGATGTCAAGTTAAGTGGAAGCATTATACGTCCCTAATTTATCAAACATGGATACATATATGAATTAATAATAGTGAAATATTTACAGCAGATAAACAAATGATAACCAAAAGCAGAAGATGAAGAATGCATACATAAACTGCAACTTAGACTGCATTGTATAATTTAATGTCAAGGGTTTAGTTCACTGCATTCCAATTTTGTTCTTATTTGTGTGTTAATAATATTAACTTCATATTGTCACCTTTTACATCCATAACGATAATATTGTTGTTTTCTCATTACTTATCTTATAATTTAAATAAAAAGGCTTATGTAACATGTCTAGAAGTTATGCAAAACCTTTGTTGCTCTTCTTTGATTTGGCATCAGAGTATAACATGGTGATGGTACCTAATTTCCCTACTACAACACATAACTTAAAATTAAGTACCAAATTAAAATTAGTATCTACAGTACAATGGAATTCACAACTATAACTTGAAGATGGGAACAGGATATATGCAGCAAATTGACAAATACATAGGAACTTGTTAATATATTATTATAGGACCAAATCTTATGCTGCTTGTTCAGAAATTTGCTTAAGGTTAAAAATTACTAGAATCAATCTTATGTATTTATTGAATTCTCTCTTTCTTCCTTAACAAGTAACTTATTCAATTGCCATTTGTTTCAAACCAAATAACTAAAACTCAGTAACTTCTATGGGCATGTCCAACTGCACATCCACATGAACGTGTAGATTATGGGTAGAGAGACATACAAACACAGTAATGACATATTTCAGAATTAACTAATTACATTTTAAAATAAGACTCATAAAAACACTAACAAGATAGATCTAAATTGATTTCTGGCTTTCTCATGTATGCATATACTATACATAGATCAAACAAATTCCCATTTAAGCATGTTGAAAGCATTGAATATTTTATATAGAATAAGAAGCTAGTTGAGGAAAAGACAAACCGAAATTTGAGGTCCATAAGTTGAGAAGAGCCCATAAAATTGATCCATGTAAGGATATTTTGCATAGATCTAACAAGGAAAGCATACCAAACATAAGGAATTTATGTCCAGCATAAATAAAATACCAAAACATCAAAGGGATCCTTTTGTGAGAAGTTTTACCATAGGCTGATTAAACCCTAGCTCAAAACGATTGTGGGGCTCAGCAAGAGATGACTGCAGTGATAAGGCCTGAGTTTTCTGTGCATCACCTGACATTTTACAATCATCTGAAGAAAACATGTCTGAATGGTCAACCACAAGAAAATTCAAGTTTCTCACTTCAAATATTTGTAAAAAGAATCTTTTCTTTAGTAATGTAAAGCAACCAAAACTTTAATATTAGTGTAAGTCAGTTAGCATAATATGAACACACTTTAATATCAGTAAATCAACTTGAAGTCTTTAGATCTTTCATATGTAGACATGTAATCAATTTCCTTGTGGTCATGGTAAGGGTGGAGCTAGAAAGGTTATGTTGGGGTGGCCAAAGAAGAATTTTTTTTAAGGGAATAATTAAAGAAAATGATAGTATGGTTTTGTTGAACTGTTAAAGGAAACAATTGAAGATAAATAGAGTTAAAGGACAAAATATTGTCACTTATTATTTTGTACCATTATGTTGCAGTGTTTAGTTATAAAGAGGAAGCATCTCCATCCCAAACATAATCCCACTATTCTATCATCCTCTATCTATACTTAATGCTTTTGCATTGTACATGACTGGATGGGAAACACTACCTCCACCCCTGAGCCATGGTAACCCATCATTCTGAACAATAAGCTCATTGCTTGCATATCTTTCTTCTCTCAACCAAGAATGTGTCTTTTAAAATAAAGGCCCTCATAACCAAGCTATTTATCCATGTCCTATTCATGGAAGCAAAAATAATTCAAAAGTTGACCATAAAAAGCTATGCCACAATGCATTTCCAACATCCAGAGCTCAATAAAAAGGAATATTGTTTGCTTTATCGGTGTCAAACTATGCACAGCCGTGCTAATCTTACTACGGATTACTTTCTTAGTAAGAAAAGTTCAAGAAGAGTGAGTAAATCATGCTGAAAGCAGGGAGGGCGATCAAAGCTTTCTAGGTTAATTGGAACTGGAAATTGAAATAGACAAATGAAATCATAGACTTGAAGATAAAGATATTTTTTTGTAGAAAGTTACATCAACACAATGAAGGGTACAATGAGATATTAAGAGGAGATATCTGAAATTGACTCAGGTCAAGTAGTTATGGAATGTAACACTTCTTTCATTCTTTTGAGTGCTGAACATTCTGTCTCATTTCTTCATTTAGATACTGTCATTCTCTTGTAAAACTTTGAACCCATCTATATTGGATTATTATATTATTATTGCTACCCAACTCGAATCTGACTAGTCAAGTAATCGATGAACCGATAGATAATATTCAAAATAAAAAAGGACATAAACTCATTACACATCCTAAGTTATTCCTTAGCTATTTAGGAGAATTGGCAGTAATTTCAGTGCAAAATGGAAATTAATTTATACAAAAGTAATTTTCATTTTCAAAAAAGAGTAGGCCATCTAAATCTGCAGATCCCCTCAATTTACCTTCCCCAGAACAGAAAAAATTGCACAATTTACATGTTTCTTTATCATAAGCCAGCTCTCATGATACCCATCTCCCAAATTTTTATGGCAAAAAGATGGACTAGAACTAGTGTTTGTGATATCAATCTGTTGTATATATAAAGTCACAACCATTTCAACAATTCATATAAATGCCTAGTTTGGTATAATCATGAGTAGCAAATTATGAAACTCTAATAGAGACACACATCCAAAATTATATTAAATACCTGGAAAGATGGTAAATTGGGTTGTATGTCCTTTATCCAACAATTGTTCAACTCCTCGTACTGATTGCTTACTTGTAGCAAATTGGTCTACAAAATTGGAAAGCTCCAATGAAAAGGGTTTCATTTGGCCACAAGATTCTCCATAAACTGATTGAGACCCAAAAGCACTCCACCATGGTGCTGAAGTTGCAGATGACAACTGTCCAACAGAATTGTGGACAATTCCTTCATGTTCTTTTAGATAAACAGTTTGCATCGCCATATCTAGCCTCCAATGTGATCCAAACGATAATTTATTCCTAATTTGATAAACTGAACTAATTCCTGTAAACAAAGATTGAAAAGTTAGTTACCAACACTAGTGAAATAATAGTACTCAATCAAAAGAACAACTTTCCAACAAAGACAAATAACAAGTGAGCTTGAACCATAGTTTATAAAAAAATTAGCATCAATAAAAACTTCAATTTCCATAGCAATCTATAAAGAAGTTTAAGATTATCCTAGAAAGCCAAAGCAATAAGGACTCAACACTTTGATGCTCCAAAATGAAACATGAGAGTGAAGATAAGGAGACAAAAGTAAGATGAGAAAAAAATAACTTCCAAGATTGAGTTGACAAGACCCTTTACTTCCAAGAATTAAAGGGTCAGTGGTAAAACCAAAAAACATACAAAAGAGCAATAAGTCAAGCTCAATAGATTGAGTTGACAAGACCCTTTACTTCCAAGAAGAATAAACAAAGATAGGGAGAGCATTCACATCTCAGAGAAGCAGAATAATGAGAAGCAGCATCAGTTTCTATGAAGAAGCAGATAAACCCCATTAGGTTGGAGTCATGTCTGTACTTAATGAGGCAAAAGTGCACGCATACTCATACAAAGAAGAGAGAGAGAAAGAGAAAGAGATAGTGAAGAACAAGCAGAAAGAGATTATGGAAGAGAGCGGATAAAGAAAGCTTACAAGTGCAATGAAACAAGAAGCCAAACCACCAATGGACTTTGGCATTCATGGATCACTAGTACCCCTCCCTTTAGTACCATGTTGTTCTATTTTTTATTTGTCAGTCTCTCTCACTCATCACTTCTCTTTTCACAATTTATAATTCAAAATTTATCCCTTGTTTTTAGATTACTTATAGAATAACTTGTATTTTCATATTCTGATTGCATTTTTAACATGTAAGAATATAACTTCAGACATATTAAATAATAATTTGAATATCAATTATAAAAGAGATTTTGATATATTCTGTATTATATCATTCTATTAAAAATATAACATGTAGCATCTCATAGCCACATATTTGGCTAATAATAAAATATTATTTATGCAAGATTTTTTATTTTTTTTTCTATTATTAAGTGGCCGCGCTTGCTTAAAATTGTTTATAGTTTCTACTGTAAAGAACCTTGGGATACACCACCCCAAAAGCTAGCTCAAAGGGTGGGAGTGCCCAAGGCCTTATAAATGCCATATTAGTTGCCCATCCAATCAATGTGGGACTATATATCTCAACACGCCCCCTCACGCAAGAGCCCTTTAGGCTAGAAGCGTGGAAATTGCACAGGCCCATTTTTGGTTTACCTTTTTGTGCTTTTTTTATTTTAATTCCACTTTTTAAAACGGGGGACGGTGAGGCTCTGATACCATGTAAAGAACCTTGGGATACACCACCCTAAAAGCTAGCTCAAGGGGTGGGAGTGCCCAAGGCCTTATAAATGTCATATTAGTTGCCCATCCAATCAATGTGGGACTATATATCTCAACATCTACCTTCCTCTTCTCTCCTTTTTGCTCATTCAAAGTTTGTCAAACTGAGGAGGGTGATGTATGGAGAACATGGCCAAACAAATGGCAATATTTTAACAGCCATGGAGCTATTAGTGGTAAAGTTTATTAACAGTTTTCATATTATATTATCCTCACTATTGCAAGTGGAAGTGGATTCTTCATGGTAAGTTTTTGATATTTGAATGAAAGGTGGTCCTGAGTTTGTATAGTTAGTCTTATGGTGCATGAGTTGGCTCTGGCCCATCAACTCATGTGAGAGGTGCCTCCCATTAGGAATAACCTCATTTTTCTATTGAAAACTTTGGTTATTCAAGAATCTCCCGTTTCTTTCTATGGGATTTGCTATGTGTGAATCTAATAGTTGTTTTCATCACTTAAAACATTCCTGCCCCTTGATAATTACATTTGACTTAACCAATTGATTCTTTTTAGTTTAAGTAATTTACACTTTGTTTCAAGATATTAAAACCTTTGAATTTTTTTTTTCCAGCATCCTTTTAAATTATTTACTTTTCGGTTTGCCCATGTAAAATGAGATGGTGGGGTGTAGATAAAAAGAAATTTACATACATTAACTATTCATAATTAGTTTCCTTCGTGCCTACGGTGTGACCTTTTTCTTATTATTTTTTTGTATTAAGCGCCATAATTTATTTGACCATATATTAAGTGTCATAATTAGCTTAGCTGGCATTAGAGAAACGGTTACCTATTCTTATAGCAGCAATTAATTAGTAACTCCTAATAAAAAGATGCCTGTTTACTAGACCTTGTTATCAATCATAGTTTTCCTTCATGCTTCTATTAAAATTTCAAAATTAATCTATATTTATCACTAAATTGTCTCACAAGTAAGCCAGACGAACTAAAATCTCATTAAATGATTAAACTTTCACAGACCAAACATGTAGAGTAAAAGAGCTAATTAATATCATACAAGTAATTAATATGGTCAAAGCAATTTCAATTTTGACTACTAATTATAGTGTCAGCTGTCCAAACTGAATAATACTCCTTTACTAAAAATAAGAAAAAATTAAACCCAGTGACAGTAAACATAAAAGGGTGGTGTGGTTTACCAAAAAAAGAAAAAAGAAAAAAAGGGTGGTGTGAAATAATTAAAGTTAAATAAATTATTTTTTTTCAACTTTAATAAGTGATATACCGAGTCTCCAATACTACATGAGTACTAGAAATATTTTTCATAATTATGTACACTATTCAACTGATCAATTAACTCATGCATGTTTCTCAACTAGCACCTAAATCCCGACATAATTGCATTACATACGGAGAATTTTAATTATATTAATTTCCAAAAGGCAAATTGGAAAGTTGAAGGCCAATTCAGCTTATGAAACTTTGTAGTACTTGTTAAGCTAGTTATGTCACATTCATAGAATCATTCTAGGAGATGATACAGTAATTAGATGGGACCATTTAAACTAGAACTTCTAGCCATGATAAATCACAAGTCAAATCTTTAGCCCTTTGGTATACAGTAACTACACTACAATGCACGTCTAAATGCCTTCACGCTTCAAGTTTGGGCTGTTTCTATGGCCGGCCATAGGAATTTCTGTGTTAAAATATAGTAACAAATTTAAAAGAAATAGTTTATAAAGATTTGGCTCTCCGAGTCATTGGAATTCAATCGCTGATATGCAGATTCTGCTTTGAGCTTCATTTTCATAAGCCGGCTAATTGTATTTAAGACCCAAAACATTTCCCATTTAAGGTGTCTAATAAAGTCAACTTTCACTTATCAAGAACTCCTTTGTGGCACCATATGGATCTTTTTCATCACCTTTGTTGCTTTCCCCCCTCTTTTGTGATATAAGAACTTTTATCACCTAATTATTATATTATATAAGTTTCTTCTGCAATTCAAAATAATATCGTTTTAGGATTTAATAAAAATATATATAAAGTATTTTAAAAAATTTATTTCTCTTGTATCATCAATTTTATTAAAATACCCTGCATTTTTTTTTAAAATTCCAAAACAACGTTATAGTGTATGAGATAAATTCATCTCTTATTGTAAGAAAAATATTAATCTCTTATTTAAATGAAATGACCATATATCTTTACCAAAAAAAAAAAAATGACCATATATAATTATTGGGTTCTTTTTTTTTTTGCCGTGAATACAAAGAAATTATTTGTGTTGATCCCAAAACGATATTTTTTTGAGATTGAAATCAATGTGTTTTTGTAATTATAATTTATTCAAGGTTATAACAATTTTTATCATTATAATATTTTAATTTTTCCACCTAAAATGATGTCATTTTAGAAGTAAATGTAGATAACTTCTATATATCAATAAAGCCATAATTTTTAACCACTAACTAAAAGGAAAAAAAAATGATAAGAGAAAGGTATTAGAGGGCAAGGAGCACACACATTAATATCAACGAGTTGGGACTTGTCATAGTTTTTTTATTCGTAAGATGCAGTCGCTGTCTCGAGTTTATCTTTATTGTTCCCTTTGTTATATATTGTGAGTCACAGAGATAAGTATGGATCTTTCTTCTTTTCTCACTGGTTTTTTTTTTTTTTTTTTTTAAATGATAAGTGTGAGGTTGGAATGGCTAATCAAATTGGAAAAGAATATATTAAAGAAATCAAATCTTACACCGCCTACTATGTCTTCCTGTTATGTTCTCCCTAACATAACAAATAAGGCAATTTATGGTATACTAGCATCCATTAATGCTATTGTTGAAAAAAAAGAAAAGAAAAGAGAAAGAAAGTGTTCCTCTCTGTTTTTAATAGTGTACTACATTTTAATTAGATTAGTTTGAAGGTATATATTGCACTTACTCTACATATAGAATCGTTGTTTACATTTTCAAAAAAATAAAAAAATAAATAAAAATCGTTGTTTACTCTCCCCTCTTTCTTTCTATGATGTAAGGTTATTTTCCTTTTATCTAAAACTATAGAAGATCTGTAACTCAAAAAAAAAAAAAAAAAACTATAGAAGATCAGAAACCTAGGAGCATCGAAGAAGATACCTAGTTATCTCCAAATTCTACAAAAAGTCATGGTGGGTCCTTATCATTTACCCCATAATTTATGTCCTACGTTTTCATCACTTGTCACATCTTCAAACGGTAGGTATTACTTTGGATTGAACGATAATGTTTATTTGAAAAAAAAAAAAAGACAAGGTCCATTGTCCCTCCTGTATTGTCAAGAAGTCGGAATTTTTGAAAATCCAAGAAAACTGTTAATATATTTTTCTTTTGTTTTTATTTCATAAATTTGTTTGCATTCAAGTAGTCAATATAAGTGTTGAAATTCAAAAGATATTGTTCCGGATGGCCCAACGCCATATTAACCAATGACTTAAGCCCATATCCTTTTTCTCTTGTTCACACTCAGTCCTACCAACTCACCAGCCTCTCTACCCCCAAGGCGATTGCATTCTTTAGGTGAAACACCAAAATGACTTACCTTGGGATTCCAACTCCCTAGGAGACCGCCTCAGACATCATAAGTGGTATCCCCCCTACCATCATACGTTGGCGTCGCCAGACGCAGAGGTCGCATCACTGCTATCATAGCAGTGTCAGCCACCCCTAACTGATCCTAAGGAGGGTTGACCTCCTCTCACCAACCCAGGAAGGATCGACCTTTCCTTCACCTATAAATACCCTTTCCCACACACAAGGAAGGGTATCTTATGTATCGTTATTCTGCTCATTTATCTTGAGTCACATACACACACATCCTACCCCCATTATCATCTGTTAGCTTTATACTTGGGATTGTATCTTCTAGCTTGGTCTTTACCTTTGCTAGAGGTATAACACATACAATGACTCTATCCCCGAAGGGAACATAGTGGGCTTATAGATCCCAACAATACAGATACATAGATAAATAATTTATTAATGATCAAATGCGAGTGAACATAATATGGGAAAAGTGTGTATCATTTTAAAGGATGTAAAGTTGTGTCATTTTAAGTGAGAGAAAGAGATCGATAAAGGAGGAGAGAGAGTGGACAAAAAATATAAATGTGTAGATCCCACCTCTTTGTGAGAGAGAAATGACATAAGTTGTGTCATTTAAAAGGACAAACACTTTTCTCATATAATATATGGGTTCGCTTTTTCTGCAGTTATTGCAGATAAATTATCTGCAGTAAGCCCAATATGACGTCGTTTTGGGGCAGAAATCATGATATTTTTGTAATTTTAATTTATTTTAGGATTATTATAGTCTTTATAATTATAATTTTCTAATATTTCAATCCCAAAACGACGTCATTTTGGAAGTAAATACAG